GGGGGGGGGGGAAGAGACCGGGCAGTTTGAAGGGACGGGGAGCCAGGAGAGGCGCGGCGGCTCCATGAGCGGCTCCTGTCGGGACAGAGCGCCCAGAGCCCAGCCGGAGCGTCTCCAGCGCCGCGGGTAGAACCCCGGGCTACCGGAACGGCGGCCAGTTTGGAAGTTTTGATGCATATGATCACAACCACCATGATTTTTATGATTCTTGGTGCTTCAGTTGTAATGGTAAGACACCTTCACCCTCCCTCAGCCACGATAAGGTTGTTTTTTTCTAATGTAGGCGAATATTTGATCCGATCGTTGCAAATGTGGCATAAATGGATCACACTGTGCGAGAAACCCACCTTACGGTAGGCCTACCAATGACATGTGGAAGTAGGTTACCCTATAATTACCTGCTGTCATAAATAAATAATCTAAGTCCGCTTTGAGGCACGAGTCCCCCCTCTTATCGGGAGGATCTGCCCAGGCGCTCTCCTTTTTTCTCTCTACGATCCCTGTTGTTGTTATGTGTCTTGATGCTGATGAAGAGAAGAATTCGCTGTCTGTAGGAATAGCCCATACCCCATTGCTTGACATGTCCCAGCTGACTTGTGTGCTTCTTTGCAGGCGATAGCCTGTTTAATGGACATGAACGCACTACTGGATCGCTTTCACAACTACATCTTACCGCATCTACGAGGGGAGGATCGCGTCTGTCACTGCAATTGTGGAAGGTAAATGCCGTCATTCTCGTTCGATATTTGGGTTAAACATGGTGGTGTGTGATTTTTTTTTCTTCCTTTTTTTTCAACCGTCAGTTCTTAATTGTCGAAGAGGCCTCGAAGATTTCTGGCGGAGAAGCCCCGCAAAGATATCAGCCTGTCGTAGCGCTTACAGCCCCCGATATTTACATTGACGTTTTATTATTTGCTCTAACAGACACGTTTGGTCGCGGTGGTGGTTTTTTTTCATATTTTTATTTTTCTGTAGCTTATATATATACAGAAGGGCTGCGAGGATTTCGGCTTTGCTGCATATATACGAAGGTGTGTGTCGGAGCCATAAATAGGTAATGAACTATGAGCAATATAAGGCCGTTCAAAAAAAGAAAACAATCTGAGCATCAAGTGCGCAGGCCCTACTCGGTGTCGGCGACAACATAAACCTGCTGGGTTTATTACGAACATATGAGTGCAGGAGTGGAGACTGGTTATGGCTGAGGAAGTGCTATAGAGCTGGGGGCACTGGTGGCTGCTCGTCAGCCTGTACCTGCTGGTTTGCTTTCCTCCGTGAGAGCAGGTTTTGAAGTGGTGAAAAAAAAAACAGCAGCAAAGACACTCATTAATAAATTAATCCGGATTTAATCAGCAGTGCTGTGCGTTTGCATTCAACAGTAAGCATGTAATACATCAGGCTGAGAGATGCAGAGAGACACAAGTGGGCCTCTGTTTTTTGTTTTTTTTTTCTCTCAAGTCTACAGTGCCTGAGGGTATGGCAACAGTGTTGTCAGCTAGCAAGATTTTAAGTAAGAGTCCTTTCATCCAATAGATTCACACCGATATTGCCCTCAGGTATTAGATCCTCATTGACCCACGTCCTGCAGACAACCTAGCTATATGCGGCCACGAGGACCGATCAGTGTTTTAGGAAAGGGGGATGTCACCAGTGGTGTTGGTGCAAGCTGAACAGATGCACATTAAAACAAAACAGCAGTGTATACTGTGCAATGCTGCAGTGAGGGGGTTGATGTACTAGCAGTTCATTAGCAGCATTACGAGGCCAGTTCCACTGTGTGTGTTCTTTTAGCCTGTAAATTCAGAAGTGGGTCATCTTCAGGTGCTATGTGCC